CGCGTATCCCCAGAACCATTAGCCCCCTTCTTTTCTTCTCCGAATTATTTACCCCGCCTATCTTATCTAGATAGACATGCAAATACATGATAAGCTTAAAAACCAAATTTGTTGCACAAAGAACAAATTTCCTTTGTTGTTTTACTTGGCAACACCAAATAAAACAACAAAGGACATCAAGACCAACAAAACAATAACCACAACCAAAAGAAAGCCACTGACAGAAATGGAAAGGCTATTTCAAGGCCTGTTTGTTGGCCTTTGCAAGTGGTTTCCCATCGAGTCTGCACTTGATACTACACTTGGTCTTAGCCAAAAGGCCGAGAAGCGATGCCAGTCGAGTCTGATGGGGTGCTACACTCTGTCTCCAAAGTCTACTTTTGGTATTCCTGGGGGTTTCATCACTTCACTCCCCTTGCTGCTCTGTTGCAACAAGGGAACTAAAATCAAAGGGCATGGGAAGCCTAGTGGGGCTTAATCAAGGGCAATGTAGCAATGAGGAATTACTAAACCCGAATGAAGGCCAAACATGATGATGGGACAAGAGGAATGTAAAAGGAAATAGAGGAAAGAACCAGGAGGCAAAGGACACTTATAGTGGTCTAATACAGGCATGTACATTTGTAAATAGATATGTGTATAACGAGAGGGGAATAGAACTGTGTACTCATAACTATATGTTAAGAATGAAGGTTGCAGATGGACATTGGGCCTCAACTCAAGTACTCCCTTAACACAAGAACACTTTGTTGTAACAATCCAGAATTCTGTGATGCTCACCTTCTTGACATGATTACTGAAGACAAAAGTGTGCATTAGTAAATGTGGTGAAGAAAGCTGACAGTGCCCAGCTAGCGAAAGATATATGGTAGGGTCTTAAAGGCTTGAAGGTAAACAAGCAGTCATCTAGCTGAAAAGCAACAACACCCACATGGAAGAAGCACACCAACCTGTGGTGCTGATGGGATCAGGTACCATGCATCTAAGACCCAGAACAAAATCATACCCAAGGTGAATGGGGGAGCAGGGCATGGAGTGGAGACCCAATGTCCATCTGTAGATATTTGGACATCCCATCACAGAGGGGTCACAGGGAAAAAAGCGAGCCATTCAGGGTGCAGTATAGCACCAATGAAACAACTTTCCTCTAGTTCTTTGGTGCTTCCTTTCCCCCACTACCATGACCTCAATTCTACCTGAAAAATCAGATTAGACCAGTACATGCATACTGCTACAGATAAAATCCCACAACACAGGGAATACAGGATAGATAACACCACCCCACCCCCCAGGGCCAACAATGAGAGTAGAGATCCAAGAAGATTAAGGGAGGTGGGGGGAGAAAGGAGGATCCATCACAAGGATCAACTTAGAACCCTCTCTCAGGGGGATGAACAATGGAAAAGTGGGTGAGGGATGAGGGAGGATGGTGTAAGATATGAGAGTAATAGTCTATAACTTATCAAGGGTCCGTGAGGGAGGGATGGGGAAGAAATGGGGAGCTGATATCAGGGGCTTAAGTGGGAAGAGAAATGCTTTGAAAATGATGATAGTAGCATATATGCAAATGTGCTTGGCACACTGGATGAATGTATGGATTGTGATACGAGATGTAAGAGCCTCCAATAAAAGTATTTAATAATAATGTTTTTAAAAGATACTAAACATTTGGCAGTTTCAGGCCACCATTCATTGGACACACTCAAGGCAAGAGATTTCAACTAAAGTCTGACATCTGTCAGTTCAATGCCCTTGAGCTAACAGTCAAAGGCGTCTATAAACCACAGAAGCATGAATGGACTTGGCCTTGAACTTAATTCCAGCCCCAGTGGAAGGATAATCAGTTTATCTGATATGGCCTTGCTAGATGGTGCCCAACTATCCATAACAACAGCATCTGGATCTTCAAGTATGTTTTCAAAGAAAAAGGTCTTCTAAGTGAGGTGTCAACTACGTTCACATGGAAGGAGTACACCAGGCTGTGTGATCCAAGGACTGCCAATAATATTCTCCAAATCTGAAGGAGGGAATGCTATCAGACCTTAAATTATGGACAACTGGTTTACAGAAGCCTATGGATGACCGTGGAAGCCCCAAATCCATTGACAGGATGCACACATAGAGTAAGCCTTTATTGACTAACCTAAGACCATAATTGAGATCTATTAATGGCCCTATTATCAGACAGACAGCAATGTCAAGTCTGTATGGCAGATGTAGTAAAATTAAAATGTAATATCATTAGATCTCTCCTTTGAATCCTTCAGTGATCCCTCTCTGACTACATATCAGGGATAGCCTTACTATCAGACAGAGTGCATAGAAAGGGGATTGTTAGACGCATTTGGGTTAAAATGCACTACCCTATGGTTTGAGCTCCCATATCATCCATTTTAAATTGTTCTAGTTTGTACTGTTTCTGCTTTTTTCTTTTGAAATTTTATCTGATTGACAATGTTCTTTTCAGCAGTTTTTGTTTGTTTTTTAATGCTATATGAAATTCAGGATAGATAAATCTACAGACGGTAACTGGATTAGTGGCTCCTTGGGGGTATGGGATCGGAAGTTGAGGGAAAGTGGGGAGCTAAAAGTAATGAGTACCAAAGTGAAGAGAATGTTTAAACTGATTGTGGCGATGGTTGTGTAAGTCTCTGTGATATGACGGAGCGATTGCGGTGTCTGATGCGTGTTGTTAGGTGTGAACTGTTGTCCCGACTCTAGTAGCCCTGCCCACAGCAAAAGGGGACATTGCACCCCCCTGGGCTCTCCTGGGCCAAGCCTGTTGTTGTGAGCGTTGTGTCCATCTTGCTCCATGAGGTCCTTCCTCTTGTTCACGGTCCCTCTAGTTTCTCAAGCATGCTGTCTGTCTGCGGGGATGGTCTCTCCTGACAACATGTCCAAAATAAGCAAGAAACGATCTTTCGGTTCTTGCCTTTAAGTCGAATTCTGGTTGTAGTTCTTCCAAGAAAGGTAGGCTGGCCCTTTCAGCAGTCCTTGTTATTTCTATAAACCTCTGCAGCACCTAATTCAAATATACCAATTCTCCTCCGTCTTCTTTATTCAACGTCTAACTTCCACATGCACATGAGCCCATTGAAAATGCCGTGCCTTGAATCAGGTGCACCTCGTTCTCAAAGTAACATCCGAGCTTTCCAATACTCTTAAGAGTTCTTATGCCACCAAATTAACTAATCTCCCTCATCTTTTTAGTGCTGTATTGATTCTTACATGAACATGGACAGTAAATCCAAGAAAGTTCCTTGATAACTTGAACCTTATCTCCCTGTGTCGTGATGTTTGCTACCTATTGGTTCAAAATGGGGATTTGGGACTTGTATACTTTGGGTTTTAATCTATTCTGAAGACTGCCATCGGTCCTCCCATCAGCCAGTGTTCGAGTTCTCCTCACGTCCAGCAAGCAAGGTGGTGTCATCTGCGTATCTCAGGCTGTCAGTAGGTCTTCCTCCAATCCAGGTTCCCCATTCTTCGTCCTATAAGCCATCTTCTCTGATTATTGGCTGAGCATACCGATTGAACAAGTATGGCCAGAGGATACAACCATGAAGAACATGTTTATTATTTTAAACGATGCCCTAATCCCTTGTTCTGTTTGCACAACTGGCTGTCAATTAATGTTCACGTTCTTATCATCACTAAGAAGGGTTCTGGAAATCCCATCCCAGGTTATTTATAGTTTTTTATGGTTCATAAATTCATGTGCATTTGCAGAGTCAAAAAACACAAGTAAACATGTTTTTAATATTCTCTTCTCTGAAGCAAGATCCATATGACATCAGCACTGATTTCCCTTGTTGAAAATTCCTTCTGAATCCAGCCTCAACTTCTGGCAGTTTCTTGTCAATGTATGCTGTCATCATTATTGAGTAATTTTGGTCTTGGTGATAGAAATGATGCTGCAGAATGAATGATAGAATTTTACAACATAAATGACTTGTTGATAGCAAATCTCCTTTTCCAACTCTACAAAATGGACAGACTTTTACACGTGGTCTAGCCCAGATGGGATACACAGAAATCCAAGGGACTATATCTGTGGGAATAGATGATGCAGAAGTTTAACATCAGCAGCTAAAACTCAACCAGAGGCTGGCTATGGAAAAGACCAACAATTGCTCATTTGCAGGTACAGGATAAAACTGAAGAAAATTAAAACAAGTGCTCGACAGGGAAAATATAACCTTGAGCCTTTCCCACCTGTATTTTGAGAGCATTTCCAGAGCAGATGTGATGCCTTGAACAGTAATGAGAGAAGATGGAATGAGCTGTGGGAGGACATCAAGAGCATCCTTCCTTCAGAAAGCGAAACATCATGAAAAACATAGGAAAGGAAAAAAGATCAAAGTGGGTGTCAGAAGAGACTTCGAAGCAGGATCTTCTCTGTGAAGTGTCTACAGCACATGAACGGAATGAGAAAGACAGAAAGCTGAGTCAAAAATGTCAAAAGGCAGCTTGAGAAGACAAAGCCAAGTCTTATAATGAATTGTGTGATCTGTGAATTAAATGCCAATGAAACTGTTTGTATGAGCCCCTAATAAAATGCTTAAAAAAAAACAAAAAAACGAGGGCCGGTGCCAGAGGCCGACCACAACGGGTCGACTGACACAGTTGCTTCTCCAGTGAGAAAGCCATGAGAAGCAGTGCTTTCTTCTCTTCGACAGAGAACTAGGGGTTGCAGTGCTAAGGGTTTTCCCTGAAGTCGTTCTTTACTATTCCAAAGAAGACAATTCAAATCCGAACCTTTTCTCTTTTGAACATTTTTATTCTTAAAATATATTTAAAAGAAATTAAACAACTTATCGTCAGGAAAGGAGTTAAAAAGAAATGTACATACTGCCTCCCCTTCCTTCTAATTACAGTGAAAATAAAGCAAACACCAATATTTACTCAAAATGTGGGCAATAAGAAAGCAGGGCTTAGGTTGCCCAATGGCAGCGGCTGTCCAAGTGAGAAGGGGAAATTAAACTCCAGACACCATCTGCTTAGTAAAGGGGATACCACGAGGGGGCTCTCGACCCACCCCTGCGCACAGGGCGCCCCCGGTAGACTGGGCCCCCAGGCCTGCGGTGGAAACGCCCATGGGACTGAGAGTCTGATCTGTGGTTGGTGGAGCGGCCACCATAGTGAGCTCTTGGGAAGCCCCGATTTGTGGTGCTCAGGCCTGGTCTGTTGGTTCGTTTGGGGATCACCTTGATTTGTCTGCCTCTGAAAAGGGACTCATCTAAGGACAAGGAAATCTTCGCCGACTCCTTGTCTGAGAACTCTATGTATGCAAACCCTTTGGGGTGGCCACTGAATTTGTCAGAGAGGATGGTGACACGGTTGATTGACCCACAGCCAAGAAAGTGTGCTTCCAGCTCTTCTGCTGAGGCTCCGTAGTCCACATTGCCAACGTAGATCGAGCGGGCATCAGCCTGCTTCTTCTCCTCAGGAGACAGGACCACCTGGCCTTGATTGCCTGCAGGTGAGTGCATCTTCATCAGCTGCGCCAGCTCTTTCTGCATCTCCTTTATCTTGTCAATTTCTTCCGTCATCTCTCTGACGTGAGCTTGGATGGCTTCTAGCTGCTGGTCCTCAGTGGCCTGGTCCACAGGCTCACGCTCAGAGTGTTTCAGAGTTCCAGGGTGTTTGGGGGCCTCTGAGCAGAACGGGAGCGAGTGCTCTACTTGTTCAGGCACGGGCTCTGCTTCATAGTCCAGCAACAACTCCTCAGGCTCCATCTCCTCGGGCTCCTCCTGCCTTTTCCTGTGGTCCTTTATGGCACTTGGAAAGTCAGCATCTCCACTGGCCCCAGGCACAAGAGGGCGCTGTCCCCACCGAGCTCCTTGACTGCCAGCCCTGCCTGCTGCTTCCATGTCTGGAGATGTTGCTGCCATCTTCAAAGAGTCTGGGGGACGTTCTCTCTCCACGCCCTTGAGGGCTCCTTCTCCGTCACAGGATGGCTCCCTTAATCCCTAGAAAGGAACAATTGCCTCTTTAGTCCTGCATGCACATTGATCATTTGGCATAACCCCCAGAAGTTTGTGCTGACATGCATAGTCCACTGCATCATTTTGTAGCTGCACGACCTCAGTTATCCTCCCATAGAAATGTAGACACGAACACCCCAAATAGGCCACTAGATGCCCAGGTATTCCTATCTCTATATTTTAACTGTCTTAATCACTATCCCTTCAAACCGAAGACAATGTTGAATATAGATTCTGGCTTGCTATACCTCAATTGTTGTTATAATTTCTAATAAATTGATCATGACTACTCTGTAAATTTGTATTGACAGCATGCTCAACACAAGGAAACATTGATTAATTATATATACGAGAGAGAGAAAGAGAGATTTGTTGCAAGGAAATGACTCACAAGGTGGTAGAAGCTGGCACATTCCAAGTGTGGGGCCACAAGGCAGGCTGGAAGCTTCTGTTGACACAAGTGGCTTCAGCAACTGAGGGTCAAGACCTGAAGATCAGCAGGTCAGAGAGAAAGGTCGTTGGCTCCCTGGTTTCAGAACGTAGGCAATCCCAAGATCAGCAAGCAGTACAACAGGTGACCATGTCAAGTCCAAGAAACCTGAAATCAGATGCTAAGAGGTGAATGCAGGCTCCCCAGTGAGCAAAAAATCAGAGAAAACATTCTTACGAATGAATGTCCCTTGATATTCCATACAAACCTTTCCAAGAGGAAACCCCTCTTTACCTGGTGGACTCCTTGTGGCACGTGGCGTCATGGACACGATGGTATTATTCTAGAGCTCATCCTGGGGTCTGAGTACAAGAAAACTGCCCTGCCAGAGACTCATGACCTCGCCAAATTAACACACAACCTCAGCCTTTACTAGATACTAGCTCTTTGTGGGTGGTAAGCAGTACTGGAGTTTTCCACCTGTAGAATTCAGAATAGATTTTGAATCACAAAAATTCTAGGCATTAAAGGCAAATAGGACAGATAACAAATGAACCATTCACAGATGAGAATACACACAAGATTCACTGAAGTTTCTGGAAGCCTGGAAACACAGGTTTGTGAGTCCAAGAGTGCTTACTTTTGCTGCGTTTCCCTGGCTGTGGAAATGTGAAGGTACCTTAAAGTTTCCTTTCTTTCCAGAGTCAAGTTTTCAAGGCCCTCCAGAGATTCCTCCAGATAAGAAAACTTTGCAATCCTCTTTTACACTTGGTCTCTGTTTTATGAGACAAAAGGGACCCCAGTCAAATATAACTTAAGGGCACCATTCATTAAATGTCACAAGACAAAGACATATGAGAATGACAGACACGTCATGGAAATGAGGGAGGCCATTAACAAAGGACACGATGGTCTCTGAGGAGTCTTGGTTGGGACTCTGGTTAAATAGGGCATGGAAATAAAACACACTTTCACAAGTTCATGATTAATGGCAGATCAAGAGTTCACAGTCCTAAGTGGGGCTACAGAACAAGGAACATGGTCATGATTGGCACATAAGAGTTTTAAAAATTGGTTCTGGGTCTTTGGTTAAGACAGTCAAAGCATGGATGTTGACTTTGCCACAGACTGCATGGTTCCCAGCCAGTGATCTCCATCAAGGAGAGACCCAGGCAAGCCCCAAGAGAAGGCAGATCCTTGGGCAGGCTGCAGAGGGCTGGAGGTAATCCACTTTCCAAAGCCTGTGCCTCGGGGCAAGATGATCTATATCCTCTGTTAATGATCAGAGGGAATTAAATGGAAACTCAATCTATTTGTAAACTCTGTCCATTGATTAGGGATTTCAACGTCATTCTTAGCTTCCTGCAAAAATGATGCTCACGTGAAGCTCTGATACAGGTTGAAATTGCTATCATAAGTAAACTCTTCACATGTATTTTTAAGTTAGGTCAAAACAATAGATCGCATGTGGGGAGTGTCTGACCCTCCGGCTTTATAAAGGCAGAAAAAACCATCCATTCGTGTGGACATCACGGGCCTCACCGGGGAGAGGCAGTTCCTGCGCTCACATTAAGGGAGAGTTCATGAGATGTTTGAACAGTATGGTTTTTCAATGATGTTATAAACATTCAAATGCCCTTGAAAGAAAAAACAATAAGACCTTACCTCTGCAATAGGTGGAAAGTACTCCTTAAACGCTGCCTAAATTGATCTACTCTAAACCATTACTGGATTCACAATAAATGGTTTAAAAATTATTTTTTTTAAGCCTGCCTAAATAAAATATTTTATTAAGTTCATTCTCCCCAACCTTTCATTCAGGGAAGGACACTCTGTTGCTGGTATTTTAGGCTCTTCCTGAGAGAGTGTGCTCCCCAACAGAAGACAACCCCCCCCCCCGCCCCGCCCCCCTTACTCAATGACTCAAACAGAAACAAAGCAGTTGCACTGGAATTAATCCCAGCTCGTTGCAAAGGGCTTCCTAAGGATAGCCTTTTCCTTGGCCTTTCTCACTTCCCAGGTTGCCCACCTTTAGTAGTCAACTGAAATAAGGCCAACATGTCATGCCAAAGAAATTGATATTATTTTATGCTCAAATAACGAGATGTGGGGAGGTATTCTGTCCACACTGGATGGCATGACAAGAAATGAGAATTCCAGAAGACTAAAATGTGCTCATGTGCAACCTGTTGCGCATTTGACATTCTATGTCTTTTGATACACAAACACACACCCACACACACACAGATTTATCTCAAGGAAATAACTCACCAAGTGGTCGAGGTTGGCAAATTCCGAATCAGATGGCAGCCTGGAGGCTTCTGTTGACACAAGCCGCTTCCAAAGTGGATGAATCTGAGAACCACAGAGCAGACAGCAAGCCTGTTGGCTCCCAGGTTTCAGAGGCCCGGGAATCCGAGGTCAGCAAGCAGTGCAACAGGCTAGTGACTCAAGCGCAGCAGGAAACCTCGGATCAGATGATCGGAGCTGGACCCCGGATCCTTGTTGAGCAGAAAGAGCTGCAAGGTTGTCCTCAGAATGAATACCTTTTATAGTCTGTGCTAGCCACTCCCACAAGGGAACTGCCTGTCCACTGACAACTGCTCATGGCTGATGGCATCATGGGTGGGACAGTAGGATTTCGGATCCCATCCACCCACTTGCCAAGCCAAGAGAATCATGACCCACCCAAGTGGATACAAAACCCTAATCCAAACTGGGTCCCCACCCTTGGTGAATGGTGGCTGTTCCCAAGGGCTTCTGGGCCTGAAGTTTGCTATGGTGGCTGCTCATTCAACTAGGTTTGGGGGCTGTTGAATTCCTGGTGCCTTTGGAAAAATCATTGAGGATGGGGAGTGGAAATTGAATATGGATGACTATGCTACTTGAGAATCAGAGGGGAATGAACATCTACCTTAAAATATATGCTAGGCAGCTTTTAGTTCATTCAGTATCTGATTAAATAATTTCATCCCTAACACAATTGAAATAAGTGGTGCATTACTGTAAACTTCTCTGTAACCATCCAATAATCACAGAGACATATTTTTTGGGAGGATAAATAATGCCCATATGGATTGGCAACCTACTCATATTACTAGAGTGAATTGGATGGTTCAGATTTCTCTAAGATCTTGGCATATCTCTATGGAGGAATTCAGACAGGAAACAGAAACATGTTGGAATGGAACAGTGAATTTATTAAAGGATTACATGCAGAATGATATCTTACCTAATCTTAAAGCCAACCATTGGATGGGGAATTAAGATACTAATGTGAATAATGGCGGACTTTCTTTCACTGACTAGATAATAGAAAAGACCTTCCATTATTGGCTGGCTTCTTACAAAGTACCTCCTCCTACAGATGAGTATGCGCCCCAAGTTCAGGCTATGTCATTGTGATCTGGACAGGATCCTGCCTAGAATCTTGCTGACCTCCGAGAATCAATTCGGTCATTGATTGGCTAGAAGCAGGAATCACTACCCCTTCAACCAGGCCCCTGCTCTACCCTCCACCTCCTTTATGCTGAGACTGTATTGAAAAGGGAAATGAGCCTTCTCTGCTTCCACCTCCGCACATATTTTGATTCCTTTTGTCACTCTCCCTGATGTTGACCTTGCTCTTTCTTGCTTCCATGAAGAATAATTTTTGTCCTGCTTTAGGTGTTTCACACAGCTTTTCCTCACAATGTATTATAAAAACTTAATGTCAAGACTAGAAATATGACAATGGTGAAATATTAAGTCCAATAGAGGCTTGAGTTTCATTTCACCGTTGCTTTTTTACTTTCCTTCCACACACTCTTTTTTTGGAGGGTGTGGTATAGTTCTATATAGTTCTTCCCACCAGAATGTAAACTGTCCTAGAAAAGAAACTCCAATTTTATTTTCTTTATACTCACACCCTCCCCACTACCCTACATTGCATTTTAGTAATCAGACTTTTGAGAATGCTGTGTGCCTGGAAGAGGTATTCAAGTCAAGAAGAAGCATATGATCAAGAAGCTATAGTCCGAGGGTAGAAATCTAAAGGGGCCCTGAAAGCATTAGCAAAATGACTCCAGACCAAGTACTGGACCTCCAATACCATAAGCCCACAACCAAGCAAGTTACAAAGAGGAGGCAGCCCTTCCCTGACTGGATTATGGGAGTGTAGTAATCCACTTTCAAGCACACTGTCTGAAGGCAAAGCTTTTCATGTTTGTCTACAATCAGAAATAGTTCAATCAGGCGGAATCTGTTTGGAGAGGCAAAAATAGACTTACTTCTCTTAATCTAAGCCAGCACCTCTCAACGTGTGGGTCCAGACCCCTTTGGGGTTCAAAAGACCCTTTCACAGGGGTCGCCTAAGACCATCAGAAAACCCATATTTCCAATGGTCTTAGGAACCAAGACACTATCTTATGAGCCACTCCTCTATCTTGCTCCAGGCGGGTCCATCCGCATGCAGGTACGCCCACATACCAGTACCCGG